CCAACGGTCACGGAAACCAAGGCGGGCCGTTCCATGTCACACTCTCATGGCTACGGTGGTTCGCGCTCAACCCTCGCCAATGACGACAACCACAACAAGCAGGAGCAGCAGTTCTTCTCGCACGAAGGACACTTTCCTGGATCGAGCATGGCATTCTCGCAAGCCAGCAGCCTCTTTCAGAGCACACCCTACAACTGGGATCCTAAGTTCGGCCCCCTCACGGCCTTTGGCCGCGGCAGCCTCCAGGGCACGGATGATCCGACGCACTACAAAAACCTGATCAGGAGCAGCGCCAACGAGACAGACGCCTACGCTGGCACCTACGACCAGATGGTCCTTCAGGCTGCGCGGAAAGGCGGCGACGACGACGAAGGCCAACGTCGCGCTCGCTAGGTTGTCTCGCAGCTGGCCCTCTTAGTTGCTACATGCTTTTCGCCATTATGCTTCTGCCTGTTTCAGTTCAGTGCATTCTTCTGAAAGTGTTCAAGCGCACTTCTTCCATTGGGAAATCACTCGACCCCTGCCCTTAATGTGGCCCTAGCTTTTTTTTGTTCGCAGTGTTGTAGGGCGCCGCAGTGCGCAACGACACAGGCGAGAAAGAGTCGGGTCCAACTCACCGGTAGAAGGGAGTTTCTGCTATCAAACAACCTCCCCCCCCCCTTCGTCTCACTCACCAGGTATTATTTTTTTGCCAGTGGTCAGAAGTGGGGGCGGGGGGGGGGGGCACCGTAAGCTTGTGGGTGTTATTTGGAGCTGTAAGTGGCACACGCGTTCTGCATTGGTCATTGATGTCCTAACCCATAATCTCTAGGTTGAATCGGCGCAGCATCCAAAAGTGTCTGGAAAACTGTGGGGGCGAGTTGGAGCACCACTTGTACGGATCATTACGTTCACAATGCACGAGACGCGGGGGGGTTACGTTGATGAGAGGGGCTGAAGCTGTCTTGGGCTGCTCGCTCGCCTCTCTTTCTAGGAGAGACGAACGCAGCCTCTTAGTTAGATGCCTGTTCAACGAGTCTGCCCGTAGATGATGGGAAAAAATGAAAAACCGATAAGACAAACTGGTTGAAAACACTTTGGCCCCGCACTCCGTGACGTTTATCATCATTCAGATCTAGGGCGTGGGGGCCAAGGGATTTTTTTCTTGCTTGCAAGTTGATGCAAAAAATAAGAACGCTCGCCGTTCTCGCTAAATGGTGGGTGAACCAACCCTCTTCCATGGGGTGTTGCTAAAACGCCTGTTGTTGAAACCTGTTTTTTCCCTGTGAAACCTGCAACGCCTCGCCCTATCCCGGAACCTAGCCCTGCTCTGCTGCGAGCTGGGGAGGTTCAGAAGTCGCCATGCTCCCAATCGATTCTAGACAAATCTAAGAAGACTCGTAGGTCTGCTTGGGGAAGGGGTACCTAGTGGGATAGAAAATTAGCCCTGTCTGCAGAGGACGAGATGGACGGGACCAGAGGGTCGAAGTGGAACGTACGAGGGGCCGAGCTCCTGGATGGACAGCTTGGCGAGCCACTGGCCGCGGTCGACGCTCTCGGCGAGGGACTTCTTCTCGACGAGGCCGGCGAGGAAGCCGCCGGCAAAGGCGTCACCGGCGCGTTGGTGTCGTGAGATCTTCTCCTTCTCAATGGCCTTGACAGGTACTCCTTGACCTCGTCCTCGCCCTGGACGGCGACAAAGGTGGGCTCGGTGCCCTGGGTGAAGATGACGACGCGCTTGCGCTTGGTGTTCTCCTTGGGCAGGTTGGCGACCTCGCGGGCGAGGGCCTTGAGGTCGGCGGACTGGAGGCCGTGGGACTCGGCAAAGGCGGCGGCCTCGGTCTCGTTGCCGATGATGTAATCGCAGTAGGGGACGGTGGCGTCGAGGGGCTCCTTGAAGAACTGGCAGATGAAGGGGGCGGACAGGGAGAGGACAAAGGCCTTGTCGTTGGCGGCGGCCTCGCGGGCCAGCTTCATGATGGCGGGAGGGCAGACGGTGAAGTGGTAGCCACCGACGTAGAAGATGTCCGCGTTCTGGGCGAGCTGCCAGATCTCGGGGCGGTCAATGTGGTCCATGGCGTACGTGTTGGCGGCGCCGAGCTCGGTGCACATGGAGCGGTTGTGGCCGGTGATGACGACACCACAGCGGCCGGTGGGGGTCTTGGAGTCGACGCGGTACTCGACGCGGAGGCCGGCAGCCTTGACGGCGTCGTGGAGGATAGCGGCGTACTTGTCATCGCCGACACCGCCGAGGTAGACGACCGAGTTGGGGGGCAGGAGGTACTGGGCACCGCGAGCGGAGTTCTGGGCAGCGCCGCCGGCAATCAGCTTGGCGTCGTAGTTGGTAAGAAGGTCCTCGTAGATGCTGAGGTGCTCCTCAGACGCGAGGATAGCATCGTTGGCCTTGAGCTTGTACTTGTCAAGGAGCTCTTGGTTGCCAACGGCCTGGATATCTGACGGTGAGGGGTTAGCTCGTAGTTTTGTCAAGGATCTTCCGGCCATGGAAGTCGATCATACCGAGGAGAGGGTTCTCCAGGACGAGGAGGCTGTATTCCTTCGTGGCGGCCATGGCGATGACTGGTATGTGAATTTTGGGGGGTTGGAGGGGAGGGGAGAAATTTTGCTGATGTTGATGGTGATGGCGGGGTTGTCAGAGGGAAACTTGGAGGTGGGGTGTAGAATCCCTCAAACATCGAGGGGTCGCTGGTCCCTACGTGGGGCAGCTTTTCTTTGCCGGCCCACCCCTGACCATTCAACAACAGAGTGACTTTTTCAGGGGAGATTCCGGTCGTGGTAGCGAGTCGGTCCCCACCCGGTAATCGGCGTCTCCCATCTCGCTACTTTTTTAAGACTCCGCAGAAGTCACATCATTTTTCAGATTCAACAGCGTGAGACTGAGTGCCTGGGGTATCTCATGAAATCATATTTGATGTGTATTTTCTTTTGGCCGTGTCACGACAAGTGCTTCGATCGCTTGCTGCCCACTAGCATGCGCGTCATGGAAAGCGCATCGTCGTTGATAGCTTGGCTGGGAGCAACTTTTGCTATCCCAAGCTACCGACGATCTCAACTTTGCTCACGCTATGCTCGCAGTATTCAGGACGGTCGTGCAGTGAATTGTTTATCGACACTCGCATGTCAGGCATTCTTCGACAATTGCCCCCGGTACCACTCCAGACCAACCAGATCAGATCACAGGTCAGATTGCAGTAAGCTGACGGGCACAATGGACCTCACCTGCGTCGAGAAAGCAGCGCGACTGAGGATGTGTTACGCACCAGCCGGAAGTGTCTCTTGCGCGGCCTGCGTGGCTCGGTCAGGTTTTTGTTGCATTGCAAGAATATTGCAAAGACAACAGGTCCAGTGAAGAAAATACAATGACATGAGTCCTCAACAGCACACCTAAGTCGCATTACCTGATGTGCCTGTTTTATAGCCTCGTTGAGAGTGGGAGTCACTACTTACACGACGACAGGCCCACCCATGATGAATTGGGCAAGTTGAGGACAAATGAGTCCAGCACCTTGGAAGCCCATGCGCAAGATCTATCCATCTTCAGGTTGCCTGTGGACCACACATCAACAAAGGGCAAGGAATGATGCGTGTCAAGTGTAGGGCTGTGCGAATACCAGAACCAAATGGATGTCGAGTCTGGCTGGCTTGGGACATGTGTGACGTGACGCCCTCTATTTCGGTCTCTTGAATATCGCCCAAGTGTCTCTCGGAGCCTATATCTCCATAGTCAATCATCTGAAATAAGCGTCGCTTCCAACAAGCGACGCTGAACGCCGAAGGATCAACCCTTCCTTGTGAGACTCCAAACGTTCCCTCGTGGCAGATCCCGTAACTGGCCGTATCGTGAAATGGCCTGCATTGGGTAAATTCTACGACATTTTAGGGACTGGCGACCCACGCCGCCCAGGGAGGCGCGGATGTTGCTCATGGTGAATGTCCCGACCATCAAATCCGATGTGCGAGAGAAAAAAAAACAAAAAGTGTACCGAGCTGTTGAGCCCGGCCAGGACCTGGGTGGCGCCAAAGAACAGAAAGTGTGTCATTGGGAGAAGGTGGCCCTTCGTCGCATATTCCAGTCACACATATCAATGGCGTCCCCCCTTATGCATCACTTCCTTGGGTCGTGAACATTTGTATTCGCGGGGTATCCGACACACATCGCTGACATCCGGGGCATGGTTTCTTAATGCGTGAAATGTCATGGTACTTGCCACCAGAGCTACGAGTTTTTTTGCCCTCGCGAGTACCTCGAAAGATGCCAACCGCGTAACACCATCCCAATGGAACCATGGATACCATCCTAGCCAACTTTTTAATCCTTGACCTTCTGGGTACCACGGAGCAGACCCGTCCTCCTGGCGGCGATGAGACCAGCCTTCTGACCAGCAACAGCGTAACGAGAGATGGTGGAGGCCTTGCCGATATGTTGGTGGTTACCCTGTGTCTTGTGTCAGCGTCTTCTGTCCCGAGCGTAACGCGGTCGCTGCTACTTACACCACCGTGGGGATGGTCGACGGGGTTCATGGCAACACCACGAGTCTTGGGCCACGAGTTGCGCTTGACAGCGAACTTGTGCTTGGCACGCGAAGCCTCTGTAGATGGAATTAGCAATCTGCGCTTCTCGTGCAATAATGGCCCTCACAGCGCCAGGCAGAAAAAGAACATACTCAGGAGAGGCTTGTCAGTACGGCCACCACCGGCAACAATGCCGATCATGCCACGGGAGCGGCTGTGGACGACCTTCTTGGCACCAGAGGGAAGCTTGATGCGGGTCTTGCCCTCATCGGGGTTGTGGCCGATGATGGTGATGTAGTTGCCGGAGGTGCGGGCAAGGGTGCCACGGTCACCAATCTTCTCCTCAACGTTGGAGATGACGGTACCCTCGGGCATGGAGCTCAGGGGCAGGATGTTGCCGACGGTCAGGGCAGCGTTCTTGCCGGCGTAGACGAACTGGCCGGTGTACATGCCCTCGTTGGCGATGAAGGTCTCGGTGTGCTGCTTGAACTTGTAGGGGTCCTTGAAGGTGACCTTGGCGAGGGGAGCACCGCGACCGGGGTCGTGGATGATCTCCTTCACGATTCCGCGGAGGTAGCCATTGCGCTCGGCGTAGTCGAGAGTTCGGAACTTGGCCGGGGCCTGTGATGATGGAAGTTAGGAAATTTCGTCCTCGTTGGAGGGGGGGGGGAAGTTTTCGCCCCCGTCCCGTTTTCGCGGGGCAGGGGAAACCGGGTCGCTTCTCACCTTGTTGAGGCGGGTGTTGGCCGTGAAGATCGAGCCGCGGCCCTTTCTCTGGTTGCGGATCTGTGGAGGGTTGTGTCAGCGCCCATTATCCTCCTGTGTTGAAGTTGCAGCTTCATGGCCAGAAAATATTCGAGTCGAGGCGCCGTCGAGGTCTGGCGGTCGAAATTCGTCGTCGTCCCCCGAATACAATCCAGCGACTCGAATACCAATGGCCATGTTGTTGCGAATCGAGGCGGCACTTACGACGCGACCCATCTTGACTTCCTGTGCGGCGGAATGAGTTGGTGATGGACGGAGGTTAGGGTATTTCGGTCAAAGGTAGCGATTTTTCTCAGAGAGTTGTGGGCAACCAAACGGGCCAGTGCCGCCCACGTGACCTGGGCC